ATTCACAAAGCCCTCCCCGGGGGCGGGTCTTCCCTGAGACTTTCTATTTCAATGGGTTAAAAGGGGCTTGGAGATTTTTTGCCAAAGGTGGAAAACACCTTGTTCAGCAGGTTTCCTTGGCTCCTGGGTAAAGGCTTGGCCTCCCCCCAGCCATCGGGGTAACGGCCTCCCTGACAGTGTGATCCAGGCTCTGCCCGGCCTCTTGTGCTCCTGAGGTCACTGGTGTCACTTTCTGTGCTTTACTGAGGACGTGGCCATCCCGGTGCTGCTGAACACGCCAGCCCTCACTCCATGAGAACAGTCAGTACTGCTTGTTAGAGTTAGTTTTTCCTTCCTGTCTCCGAATGTAAACTCAGATTGTCTTTATCATCTTCCTTTTTTTTCCTTTTAATTCTCAAAACTTATGTTGAGCACACAGCTGACATTCAATAAATGATGAAACCTGCCTCTGGATAATTGCATTTGTTTGAAATTGAGTTCAACAGGCAGCTCTTTGAGAAATCTTCCCTGAATATAATGCAATGAGCATTTCTTAAGTCCTTTTAAATTACGAGGGCACTGGTGTGAGTTCATTTGTGGACAGAAGTTACGCATATTCCTGAACAGAGGAATCAGAGCCAGTGTGAATGACAGGACCTGTGTCCGAGAAAAGGAGCCTGAAACCACTTCCCCCATCTGATCCGCGTGTTCTCCACCTGTTTTAGGTGTGGATGTGTCCGTGTCCACGTGTTTATGTGACAAGTATTACGTACTCTGAACACACCCCTCCTTCGTGTGTTGAAAAAGGCACACCGGAACAAGGATCAGCATCTGGGTCACCATCAAGAGCAGTCTAAACACGAAATCTGCGGGTCTTTCCCACACAGTCCTGACTTCATGGTGACCAAGTGAAACAACCAGAGATAACGTTAAACTTCACTAAATGGATTACTTTAATCCCTCTTTTAACTCTAGAACATCTGGCCCAGGTAATCCAGACTTTACAAACACGGAGATGGTGGACTGGCCTCTGTGCCCGGAGTGTTTTCCCTCAAAGACATGCAAAACATGACTTCTTGTCCACTGCTAAGTTATATGAAAAACTTGAGAATTTAATATACCTCTTTTTTAAGCTAGTATTTTAATTAATGAAACATGCTCACTGTTTCTGATTGGTTTGTAAGATCAGACCTGAAGTTTTTGCAATGTAATTTCATAACACTGAGAATCATGAGGATATTTTAAACTCATTCTTTCCTAAGACAAACCTCACTTTGATTACTCCAACTCACATTAGCTTCTCCTGTGATTTTTTATAGTATGTGTAAATAGAACACTTCCGTACCAGATTACGTATACACGTATAGATTTTTTATGGTTTCGTTCTTTTATAATGATTATACGCGACAATCTCCTATAGTTCTGGATTTACTCCTTCTTTTTCCTATTTTGAAATGCTATTTTAGGTGTATAGTAATCAATCCATTTAAGTAATTATCAACTCCTCACTAGGGCGTGACAACGAAGAAATGCACGATGAACTAAATCACGCATGTCCACATAGGTGGGTCTGCTGGAGTCCATCTGACACTTTAGAAGTTACAGGTACATGGGAACAGGCATCCGACACCTAATCTGGTATACTGAGAGCTCTGTGAAGATTTTCCTAACTATGTCAACAGTTATATAAATTCAATTTAACAACATAAATAAAAGAATGTACATGCCCTCAAAAAACTGTTTAATAAGTCCTGAAAACAAACTAAAAGATATTGATTCCTGAGACTGAGATCTAATGCCTAGGTTATCCCAAATTTCAAAAGCAAAGTTTACCAAGGCCCAAACACTAAATTCCTCAGAGCCCAGGGCTCAAAGTAGCAAAAGGGGCATTTAAAGACTGGGTTAGGAATAATAATGAAATTAACTTATTTCATCCTCTGTATTAAAAAAATTTTTTTTTAATGTTGATTTGAGAGAGAGACAGAGACAGAGTGTGAGCAGGGGCAGGGCAGAGTGAGAGGGAGAGACACAGAACTTGAAGTAGGCTCCAGGCTCTAAGCTGTCAGCACAGAGCCCCACACGGGGCTCGATCTCACAAACTGTGAGACAATTACCTGAAGTCGGATGCTTAACCGACTGAGCCACCCAGGCGCCCCTCACCCTCTGTATTTATTTAACATTTATTTTTTGAGAGACACAGGAAGACAGAGCACGAGTGGGGGAAGGGTACAGATAGGGGAGGACACAGAATCCAAAGCAGGCTCCAGGCTCTAAGCCATCAGCACAGAGCCCAGCATGGGGCTCGGACCACAAGATCATAACCTGGGCCGAAGTCGCATGCTTAACTAAGCCACCCAGGTGCCCCCTCATCCTCTGTATTTTAAAACTTACGCATAATTGCCTCAAAGAAGACCCATAAAAATTACAATACAAAAAGTTGCATAAATTCTGTAAGATAGGAATGGCGTGTATTAACCAGAATGGCCAGAATAGCTTTCTTTAATTATCATGTAATTTGTTATTATTTAACACATATCATATTTTATATTATTCTATTTTAGAATAGCTTTCTTTTCACAGTAGGGTAGAATATCCAAAGTGAAATCTCGGCTTTACAAATTTTAAAATTGTAAAGATAGAATGCAAGGGATTAACTTTGCTGAAACCATCCAAGTGTTGACAAGAATTATCTTCCTGGTGGAAACAGTCACATAAAAATAGAATTCAGTAAAGAATTGCAGGGTGGCACCTTGGAAAGGAGGATAATGAAAGAACATTAAAGCAGTATTAAAATACAGCCAAAAGCTTGTGCTTTTGAAAGAGAAAATAGAAAAAAGTCTTTGAGAAATATGAATGAAAAAGAGTCTTCAACCAGCAAGAATGAGAAGTAGGAGAGACACAAGGAACATTAGCACGTCCACGAGCTACTAAAAGAAAACACACCCACCCTCTCCCCCTGTGACCAGCCACAAAGTATTCGCAACAGCGAAGTTCAATAAAAACGGACACTTGGTAGTAAAACTACATAAACCACACAAAGAAACAAGGAGCACATGAGGAAGGTGAGGACCTAGGCAGGCCCGCAAAGATGGAAACTACGCACCCTTCCAACGCCGGGGAAAGACTGGAACATGTCGGAAAGGATCAGCTCAGACTGTAGGCCAGAGTAACACAAAAACTCCAAATAACGTAGACTGGTGTCTAACAGAGCTGCTTAAAAATTAATGACAAAAAATGAAATTAACGATTATCCAATAGGTTAGCAACATACAGTTAACAAACTAGATTTAAACAAAGAAAATGCACTCTAGAGAGAAAAAAGTAACTATAAATATGGAAGAACGTCTATATAACATGAAGAACAAAGTTAGAAAATCTAATTGATGTCTAACTCGTGCGGAAGAAGCTTATACAGAAGATACTGAAAATACTCCTAAACTGTGGAAAAGACTGGCAATTTCAGATTTAGAAAGCCCAACAAACCACAAGCATTGTGAATGAACGAATGAATGAATGAATGAACGAACGAACGAACGAATGAACGAACCGGATGTACAGGAAGAACTTTAAGTGGCCAGCTGACTTCCCATCAGCGACAGTGAAAGCTAGAGTCACGTTCTGAACGAAAGCCCTCGTGCCCTAAGCCTTCTCTACGCAATGAAAACCTCTTTCCAGAATGAGAACAGAATAAAAGCATTTCACAGTAAGAAACAGTGAAGTGTCGCACAGCCTACCGACCCTATAACTAAAAGAAAGTCCGACACATGTATTTCAGATGGGAAATCACCCCACGTGAAAGCTCTGACATATAAAATCAGGCAGGCAGAAAACCAAAGTGAATGAGTAAACATGACCAGAAAATGTAGGGAAGAGTCAGTCCGCTTTGTGAGGAGAGAAGAGGCTGGAAGTAATGAACCAGACAGAAACATCTTACTAGTCAAGTGTGCTGACCCATCAGTGGTGCCAAGCTTCCTTTCTTGTTCAAGATCGAGACTCTTACACTTAACTTTAGACGTTATTAACTCAAAAGCTAAACTGGGGTAACAACCAGTGACAACCTTCAGAAGAAAAAAGATAAAAGGAATGAAAACAAAATGATAAAAAAATAAAACCAAAGATAGAAAAATTATGAAACTGGCTTTTAAAAAATCATTCTTTAATGTGGTATAAAAGCAATAAAAATAAAAAGTGGGGGCACCTGGATGGCTCAGATGTTTGAGCGTCTGACTCCTGATTTCGGCCTCAGATCATGATCTCCTAGGTCATGGGATCGAGCCCAAATCAGGCTCTGTGCTCACAGCTCAGAGACTGCTTGGGATTCTCTCTCTCTGCCTCTCCCCTGCTCTCATTCGCTCGCTCTCTAAAAACACAACACGACACAAGGATGAAGAGAAGTTGAAACTCACAAGGCTGTCAGAGAGGCGGACGAGGCCAAGGTACACAGGGAGCTGCAGTTTTCTTGGTACCGACGCAGGCAGATCGCAAGGCTAAGAGACACTCGCCCGTCAACAGTGGTACAGCCCGGCTCAGAGGAAGACCCACGTGTAAACTTGTGCCCTAACACAGCAGGCGCAGGGCAGGGGAAGCAGAATCTACCAGAATCATAAGGAGATCATACTCAGAGACCTGAACACACCTCTCAGGAGGTGACATTCAGAAAACAAAAAATTTGGTATCCGGGAGACAAAAACTGAAAAAATAACAAGCAAAATGTGACAGACACATAGAAACCACCACAGGGGACAATTCCAAAACAGACGTCCTTTCAAACCCCTGCGAAGCACAAAAAAAGACAAGACAAGAGACCACATTCCTGGCTCTACCCGCATCCCTCGCCACCTTCCAAAGATTTCTTATATAGATGACGTTCTCTGACCAAATTAGAGTAGACTTAGAAAGATTATCCTCCCAAGCAGAGAAAACTGCAAAAGTACTTTTCTAAGAAACTCACGAATCAAATAATGGGAAATAGAAAATTCTATGAACTGAATGTGAACATATTTAGAGAAAGCCACAAGAAATGTGTAGCCTTACATTTTATTTGAGAAAACAAAGAACCAGATACACAAGTTTATTATCTGATAAAAATTAAAAGTTCACAAAACAAGTACATCTTCTCCACCTAGAAACAGAAGGTAGGAAATGGCCAAGCCAGGCCTACGGGCCAATGAACCAGAGCAGACACAAACAAGAGCTGGTCACAAAAGGCAATTCTGAAGCTTTAAATATGTGAAAATGAATGCACAGCTGAAGACAGATCAAAGGGAACATCAGATACGGCACAAAAATATCAGGAATACACATTAGGCCACCCTGCAACAGTGTGCACACGTTAAAAGAATAAAAAATATACTATGACGGAACACCAATATGCTTGAGAAAAGAGAAATTCCTAGAAACACGTAACAGTAGCTGGGAAGCGGGAAATTAAAGCTAGCAAAGAAAAAGCAAAGCAGTGTTTCGCCACAGAAGAATATCATGTTTAAAAGGAAAACACTATTCTTAACTAGAAGAGTTTCTCTGGTGCTGGACTGAGCCGATGTTCCGTGTTAGTTACCATGGAGACTTCGGTTAGGACAGCGCAATGGCGTCCAGACCAGTGGTTCAGGGACTGGCCTCCATCCCTCCAGCAGGTGGAAAAGAGAGCAAGTCCCCAGCAGGCAGCAGGCCCACAGGCCCACAGGCCCAAGTGCATGTATGAGACCAGGGTCCCAGGATGGTCCGTAGGGGACCGGGAGCACAGAGCACCACTACAGCCGAGACCCTGCTCATCTCGGCGAATAAAGCCCGGTCCCCCAGCTGGTCAGTCCTGCAGCCACACTGGCCGGTGCAACACCAGCCCTCCCTCCCCTAGGTGTGAGACCTAGGCGTGAGGCGCGCACTGGCTCCGCCCCCACTCGGGGAGGGAAGCCTGCTTGCCAGAAGTTCGGGTGTGCTCGTGTGATCACTGCTCATCCACCCAGCTCCTCCCTGACTGGACTGGGAGCGGCCTGGGGGGCTCCGGGGACTGCGTCTTCCCATCCCTGCGGGTTCCATCAGCCACCAGCGCGCAGGCACCGGGCAACCCCACAGCATCCCAACCACACCCCAGAGCCCCTTAGCAGCTCTCCTCCCCAGGGCCGATGTGCCTGCTCTCCCGTGTAGAAATCCCAGGGCCCACAAGGCCACAGAGATAAGGCAGAAGGTGGGGGAGGGAGCCCCCCAGCAAGAAGAGGGGTGAGTGGGACTGGGCACCTGGGAGCTAGAAGCCTGCTCCCTCACACATGGTAGACTGAGAAGCGTTCTCAATCCTGACCCCTCACTCAGCCCTGAGGGGGTGTTCAAACACCTCTGAGATCAGACCTATCTCACACCTAAAGAACGGGGCCAACACATCTGAAAGAACACTAGGGAACTCGGGCCCTCAGAGAAGCAGAGCCAAGAGCAGGACTCAAAGACCTCCATCCATCTCCACGTGCCGGAAGGCGTCTGAAAACACAGCCCCCGAGGCTCTTCCCAGAGCCGCTGGGGTCCCGGCTCCCGCTCACTCACGAAGGTCCCGTCCTCATATGGACGACGGGTCTTCCGCTGGGGTGGTCGCTGGTGTCTCTCACACGGCAGTCCTCACACTCCCGACAGGGACACGCTGTCCCCCAGAGAGCAGTGCCCCCAGTGTCCCCACCCCGGCCACACACTCAAGAGCAACGGAGACAGTGAACGCGGAAACACACACACAAATACGGACAGAAGTAGGAGCCCAGGCAGACACAGGGCTTCTCTCTGCTCTCAGGGCTGCTCTTCAGCCCGGTTGTTCTGTGCGGACCACACTGTGCGGGCAGGTGTGCGCGGCCTAGCCAGACCCGCGGCTGCCGGGCCCCGGCTCGCAGCAAGGGGCCAGCCTGAAGCAGGGACGCCATCACCACTTCCGTCACTGCGCCACATCCAACCGCCTCGCACGAAGCATCCTCCTCCAGTGAATACGCTCGGCGAGCTGGATTCCCGTGGATTTGGACAAGCAGCGTCAGGGCTGCGAGCCAGGCCCCTCCCCACCTACTCGCTCTCTGACCGCACTGGTCCCGGCACCTGCCGTACTGCTAGCTCCACGTGTGGCTCTGCCCAGCGACATGTGACCATGGACACAAAAGGGGGAACAGACAGAGCTCCAGGCTCGGGAGCCCACCCCACCCAGGTCCCGGTCAGAAACCAGGCTGCACTCCAGAGCCCCGAGCATCCCGCAACAAGAATGGGGGCGGGGGACGGTGAGAAGACAGACAGGGGTTCGCCCAGGGCAGGCCGGGCACAGAGCGAGGTGCTAGGCTTCAGCCACAAGATGAATCCTTGCTCCTTCCCATTTCCGCCCCCAAGGGACAACAGCTCAGACACAGAGAGGAGGTGGACTGAGGCCGCCCTCCCTCCATACCTGCAGTCCAGGGACGCCGTGCAGCTCTAGCTTCCTTTCCCGTGGCGCTGCCCCTCAGGGAGGCACGGCGAGCCTGCGGCCACAGCAGGTGGTGGGCCGTCAGCCTTGGGGACACACGGTGCGAGTGATGGGTCAGGCCTGGCTCCCAGCTCCTCTGTCCACCTCCCTGCCCCCGGCCCACCTCTCACTCACCTCGGATGGCCCGGCCCCGTCTCTCCCCACGGCATCCCCGGTGTTCCGCTGCTGGGGCTCATCCTCAGCAGGGTCCAGCTTCCGTGGGGGCTCCGTCTCTGCCTCGGGAAACGGCAGCTGACCCTGCAGGGTGTGCAGCAGCTGGAGGAAGGTCTGGTGCCTGCGGAGAAGAGGTGGCTGGTGAGGGAGGAAAACTGGGCCACACGGGGGTGTGCAGCCCCCTCTCCCAGCCTCACCTCTGGAGCCTGTCCCGCTCCTGCCCGGCCTGCTGCCGTAGGGCTCCAAGCTCCTGATGCAGTCGCCGGAGCTCCTGCTGGGCCCCCGTCTGCCGCAGCCTCACCTCCGCAGAAGCTTCCGCCAGCTGCTGCAGACGCTTCTCCTACCGGAGTGAGAGCAAAAACGCCTCAGCAGGTGTGGAGGTCCTTCAGCCACGCTCTTAATCCCCAGCCTAGGCACGACTTGGGGTGCAGACCCACAGAGGGAAAGAGGAACTCTACTCACTTTAGGGGAAACAGGGGCCTAGAGAGGTCTAGGGGTCAGAACGAGCTATTCTAGTGCAAAGTGTTCGGAGGAAGGGGGCACACAAACGAACGTTAGTCTGTGATGTGCCAAGTACTGTTTCAAGCACTTGCTATACTGATGACGTCATCCACCTGGCTTATGGAGTAGACAAAGAAACAGCACGGGAAGTCAGGGGACACCCAAGGTCCTAACACTGTCAGGGGCGAGGCTACGATTTAACTCCCTGCTGGTGCCCGAGCAGTGAGGGCTCACAGAGAAGGGGGTGAAGGTTTTCCGGGTAGAGGACGTGGGAAGAGGACCTGGCCCGTGGGGGGAGGCCTCACAGAGGAGAAGGGAATGGAGGTTTCCAGGGCAGAGGACGTGGCCAGTGCCGCGCAGGGGTGCAGAAGGGACGCTCCCCCAGGGGCCTGGACCCACCTGGTGCAGCCGCCACTGCTCCTGGGCTGTTCTCAGCTTCTCCATGGCTGCTTGCTTCTGCAAAGAAGGGGAACAAAGAAGGAAGAGTGTTTCTCTGGTTGGATTGGGGAGGTGGCCAGGGGTCCACCCCAGCGTGCCTGCCCTCCTCTCCCTCCTCCTGGCCCCACCTTGGCCTGGAGCTCTTCAAGGGCTTCCTGGAGCTGCGCCCGCTTCCTCTGGGCCTCCTCCATCCTGGGCAGGGCCAGGCTCAGGGCCCTGGTGATGGCCTCCACATGCTCTTGGTAGGTGGCCTTCAGTTCTTTCCACTGCTCCTTGGCAGCGATTGCCTTCTGCCCTGAAAGGAGCCACCGAAGACAAGACCAAAGATGAGACTGGCCTGCCTGTCTGCCTGCCACACTGGGGCCTCCGTCCTCCCATCAGCCAAATTGCTGACCTGACACACCTCCACCCCAACCCCCTTCCTGCTCACGGCTGGCGTCTTCAGAAGCCAAGGGCTCTGGTCCCTGGGCAGTGTCCTCCCGAGCCAGGAAGTTCTGCAGGAAGTCTACCACCTGCAGCTGGCTGCACAGCAGCTTGTCTTTCTTCCGGGAGTCCTGTTCAGAGAGACGGCAGAAGAGGGACGTCTGCCAAGTACCCCCACGAGGGGACCCCGGAGCTTCCCTAGCTCCCAGGCTTGCCCATACCATCACAAACTCCGCCAGGAGCTGGGCCGGCAGCTCTGCCTCCTCTTGCAGGCCTGTAGGCTCCAGGATGTGTGCCAGCTTGCCCAAGGCCCTGCCGGGGCAAGAAAAAGGGGAAAATTGGACACTCCTGGGGCGCTAGTCCTGGCCGACCTGTGCGCACAGATGCATTCGCAGGTGCGCAACAACGCTGGGTCTTGCCCTAACCAGAATCTACAGGAAGGTCTGCAGTGCTGTCTGGGGATGGAAGGGAGAGTAAAAACAAGCAGAGCAGGGGGAGTCAGGATAAGGGGCTAGGATCTTAGGCAGAAAAGGTCTCACGGAAGAGGAACCACTGGGTGGAAGGTCTGAAGGCCATCAGGGAATACGGGACAGGGAAGGAAAGGGGCAACGCTCCGATGGGCAGGAGGGGGTCTCGGGCAGGGGACACTTGGGGGCGGGGATCGGACAGAGAGCCGGGTGCCTGCTCTAGGCTCTGCGAGCCGCCTCACCAGCAGGCAGGGGTGCGGGTAGAACAATCTCCCGAAGAGTGCGCGCTGACACAGGCCAGACCAAAATTAAGAGACCCTCCCAGACATCTGATGCCTGGGCGGTGTTACCCGCTAGGGGACGCGGGGTCCTCAGGGATGGAGCGGCCTCCAGGACCCAGCTGGGTGGCATGCAGGGAGGGGGGAGATGCCTGCCTGCACGCCCCGCGGCGAAGTCCAGGGACTCGGGCTCCGCAGGGATGGAGCGGCCCCCTGGACCCAGCCGGGGTGCGTGCAGGGAGGGGGGTGCCTACACGTCCCGCGGCGAGGTCCAGGGACTCGGGGTCCGCAGGGATGAAGCGGCCCCCGGGACCCAGCCGGGGTTCGTGCAGGGAGAGGGGGGTGCCTGCCTGCACGTCCCGCGGCGAGGTCCAGGGACGCCGGGAGTACGCGGGGTCCCGCAAGGTCCTCCCAGCCCGCCCCCGGCGGCCATCCGGCGGCACACACTCACTCTAGCGCGGGGCCCCGCACCCCGTCTTCCGCCACCTCCATCCTGCCGACGGCGAGCTCCCGCTCTTCCGCCTCCAGCCTTCAGTGAGCTTTGAATTCGCCGCTGTGAGCACCGGGGCAGGCGATTGGCTACCGCGCCAGTGGGCGGGAAGCGAGGGTCAGCGTGCACTCTGATTGGCAGACGCCGACGAGCCGTTGGCGTGACGGCTGTTTAGCGCCGGCGCGGTCTTGGCTGGGCGTGGCCGGCGCGCCGGCGCTCTGCGCCTGCGCGCGCTGCCCGTAGGCGGTGCTGGAGCCTGGGGGCGTGGCGTGGGCCGGGCAGAGTAGTTGAGCTGGTTTTAGTCCAGCGGGAGACCGACGGCCAAGTTTGAGTTTGGGCTCTGGGGAGACACTCGGCATCCAGTTGGCTTAAACTATGTTGGGGTGAAGTAAAGCACTGGGTCTACCTCCCCAGATGCTTGGCCTCAGTCGGGAAGAACACATATCCCGGAGGCGCAGCCGTCTTCGGGCGGGGGCTGGGGGCCGCCCAGGAGGTGGGGGTCCGCCCACCAGTCGGCCGGGGTCCGCCCCCCGGGCCCTCCCGGAACTGGCTCAGGGAACGTGGAATAAACAGCCGGGGCAGTTTCCTCCCATCAGGATGGGAGCCTCAGCGGCCTCGGGCCCTACGCTGAGAGCTCTGACCGGTGTGCCTTCGCGGCAGGGAGCAGGTAGCGCTGTACTGCTAGCACATCACCAAGTAAGTGGCAGGCCAGAGCAAAGTAATATTTATAGAAACAAAAATGTCCAGCTGCCAGTATCACACAATTTACAGTGTCCAGCAGCCAAATAAAAACTACCAAGTTTGCAAAAAAAGAGGTAAAGAAAATCCATAATGAGAAGTAAAAAAAAAAAAATCACTGATCAGAGCAAATAGAATCAAACAGGCAAGGATATTAAAAACAGTTATGTTCAAAAAATAAGAGATAATGAAAAAGATGATAAAAGGTGAGGACGTGCGGAAAGCGGAATGTTCACGTTGCTGGTGGGAATATGAAATGATGCATCTGGGGGCGCCTGGGTTGGCTCAGGTTGCTGTGTCCCACTCTTGATTTCAGGTCAGGTCATGATCTCACAGTTGGTGTGTTTGGGTCCCCCCTCCCCCACTCTGCTTTGAATTCTGTCTCTCTGCCCCTCCCCCACTCACTCTCAAAAAAAAAAAACCATTAAAGAAAACTTACAATGATCACCTAGGGGGCACCACCTGGGGGGCTCAGTCGGTTAAGGGTAGGACTTCGGATCAGGTCATGATCTCATGGTTTCTGGGTTTAAGCCCCCATGGGGTTGTGTGCTGACAATTCGGAGCCAGGAGCCTGTTTTGGATTCTGTGTCTCCCTCTGTCTCTGCTCCTCCCCTGCTTGCACTCTGTCTCTCTCTGTCTCTGAAAAATAAAATGTTTAAAAAAAGTTTTTTCTAAATGATTCATCTGCCTGGGGAAACAGTATAGTTGTTCCTCAAAATGTTAAACATGAGTGACCATATGGACCACAGTCCTTCTTGTAGGGATAGATCTGAGAGGAATGAAGCTGTGTTCACAAAAATTACACACATGTGCCCACAGCAGCATGATTTACAAAAGTCAAACAGTAGAAACAATCCAAATGTCCATCAGCTGGTGAACTGGAAAACAAATCTGCATCCACTCAACGGGGTATTTTCAGAAATGAAAGAATGAGATATACTTACTGAAGCATGGATGAACGTCGAAAACATTGTGGTAAGCGGCAGAAACCAGTCACAAAAGAGTACATGATGTATGATTCCATCTACATGAAATACCCAGATTAGGCACTTGTAAAGAGAATCAGAAAGCCAGCTAGTGGTCATCCAGGGTTGGGGTGGGGGCAGGGAAGCAGGAGGGTGGGGAGATGGGCATTGGTTGTCTGCTGAGAGCAACTGCAGGAGGACTTGGGGTTTCTTTTAGGAGGTAAATGTGGAGAAGGTTACATTTTCTAAAATGTGGAGAAGGTTACATAATTGTAAATAAAAGCTATTCAAGGGGCGCCTAGGTGGCTCCATCTGTTAAGTATCAGACCCATAATTTCTGCTAGGGTCACGACCTCAGGGGTCTTGGGTTGGAGCGGCACACTCTGCTGACAGAGCCCCCTCCCCCCCCCCCCGTACTTTCTCTCTCTAAACAAATAAACATTAAAACATTCAAAAACTATCCCAAGGGGCACCTGGGTGGCGCAGTCGGTTAAGCCTCCGACTTCAGCCAGGTCACGATCTCGCGGTCCGTGAGTTCGAGCCCCGCATCGGGCTCTGGGCTGATGGCTCAGAGCCTGGAGCCTGTTTCCGATTCTGTGTCTCCCTCTCTCTCTGCCCCTCCCCCGTTCATGCT